GAAGAGCAGCCCCCTCTTCCTTTCAGCAGGTCATCAGGGCATGATAAGGGGTTTTGATTAAGGCTGCCTATTCCTTGCTGCGCGTCCCACCGAGCCTCAAAGCGGAGCAGGAGGCTGCTTGAAGAGCCCTTTCCCCTGATGGGCCCAATACACAACCTGCCCAGTTCACACCTTGGCTCATAAAACACCCTTTTTTACACATTTTTGCTACATATTCTCATTTCATTGGGTACTCACCTACTATACGAGTCACTACTACGTAGTATATAGTATGGTGTATGGCTATAGTATACCTACCGTAATATTATACGTATAGTATATACGTATTACCGTCAGTAGTATCACTACCATGTAGCTGTATACCTATGTACTGATATATGTGGCCTATCATACTATGGTATATATACTGTGGTATACCGTCCATAGTAATGTAGCTATATACGCTACTATTATATGGTGCTTACGTATGTATACCTGATAGTATGTCCTCACTATATATAGTACTAGTCACGCTATATGCGATACTATATACTCATATATGTTGTATATCATAGTATGCGTATATATACCTGCTAGGTAGTATATACGTCACCGTATAATGTTGGTATTAGTATATGCTATACTCATATATTATATACTGTGTAGTACGTTAGTACGCGTATATCTTGACTGTATATACTGACTAGTATATCCATATGCGATGTACATAATACCGTATCATACTGATACTAGTATATCTGGAGAGAATTATATAATACTACAGCAGTTATAGAATATACTACTATATATATATAACACACGCGGTACTACGGATGAGTATGGAGTGATATAGTGAGCCGTGCTACCGTATATATATATAGTGACACAGTAGTACGCGGTATATCACTATATACATATATATTACACATTAGTAAGGTATATACTAGTACATATAGCTAGTACTATAATATACAGCATAGTGAGTATATATAAGTATACACTATATAGTAGATATCATATATACATACAGCGTAGCTTATATATCACAGCGAATATATACGATAGTATACACTATTATATAACACAAATTATATAGTACATACGTTAATACAACCCATAATATACATAACATACATGTAGTATACTATGAGGTAGGTAAGTATATATAGTACTATAGTAGTACTATATTATACTACCATTACAGCAGTATAGTATAGTATATATATAAATAAATAAATATGTACAAAATGTTAAAAAAGGGTGTTTTATGACCAGTGTACTGCAGTTGTGTATTTGCCCATCAGGGGAAAGCTCTATCAGCAGCTCTGCTCCTTGAGGCTCGGTGGGACCACAAGAATAGCAGCTAATCAAAACCTTTCATCCTGATGACTGCTGAAAGGAAGAGGGGCTCTCTTCACTGCCTCTTACCTCCTAGCACCTCCATCTGAAGGGTGAGGGACAGTAATACAAAGGGCATAGTCCTGCCACACTGTCAATTGTCTGGGCAGATGACTTTAAGCTTAATTTCTGCCTGATAAAGACTCAATAGACTGCCATTACCTTCAGGGTCCACTGAACAAAGAGGATGAAAATACTGGGCCTATAAGACCATAGCTCCAAGTTATTGTTTATTTGTTTTTTAATTAAATCTGAATGTCATCAGGCCCTGAATACAGTTTTATTATCTCGTAATGTATTTCCACTGTTTAGTTGTTTATTTCTTGAGCAACCTGTTGTCAACCTTTATAGCTGATAAGCTGAGTTTATTGTCAAATAAATATTCATTCAGGGAGCACAAATAATCCTCTCAGCGATAACCTGCTTATCATCCATACAGCTCACATTCACAGCAACACAGCACTGATATGGCCTACTGGAGCCGCATGGCAATAGCTGCTCAGGTTTGCCTAACAATTATTAGGCATTATGAAGCAAGTTCAAATTATATTAGCCTCCAGTTGTTTTAATATTGGGCAATAAAAGAACAGCTCTTGCAGTCTAGTTTAGTAGATGTTTTCTTTTTACTCTGTGCTTTCTTTCTGCCGCACCCAAGCATTATTTTTATGGTTGGTTTCTGATCCAACAAAGCAAAACATCAGCTGGCTGTGAATGCGAGCTTTGATTGAGAGGAGGCTATCAGTTCTGATTCGGGTTTATTACTTGTATAATGGGATAAAATATAATGCGTGTGTTTCTTAATGCAACTTCTTTATAAAAAGGACTTATATACCTCTGCTCTCCTAAATCAAAAATTATATGTTAATATGCTTTTAAGTGTATTATACCATTAAGGTTGCAGGACTCAAATGCTTACTTTCATGCCAGCAATTATGGTTTGACTTCTCTCTACTGAAAAAAAAATAAAAATAAATAATAATAAAAAGATTACAGGACTCAAGGTAACTTGCTCTCAACCACACCTGCCAATTTATTTTGCTGTATACTACGGAAAGTAATGTAAAATTACTATCAAGTGTGGTTCAATTGGTTCACCGTGAAATGATCACATAAGCAAATTATAGGCTCTTAAATCATTGAACCAAACACTACGGCATGTCCCAGGAAACAGGTTAATGTTTTAGGGCAAAAATAATAGACTTCATGTTAAAATATCAAATACCAATATCACAGAGCTACAGCGTCTATCTTGATTTGTTAAATGACAAATTCACAACATCATGAATTTAAATAACATTTACTCGCTCACGTCACACACATACAGAGACAACCATGGCGGTACAGATGAGAAGATAGCAGTAAGAATCAAATCAATCAAAATGGATGATGGTCATACAGTACAGCTGCATCTCTTGGTCCATACACAACATGAGAAGTCTGCTGTGGCTCCACTCTTGGTCACATCAGCTTTCAAACATTACAGGCAAACAACAAAAACACAAGAAGCAGCGAATTCATTCAAAACACCAGACCAGAGGCAGATATAATAAAAAGAAAACGAATGTTTTGGACTCAGGAAAAATTATCAAGCTTAACTATTTACACAGCAAATAACACAGAAATGGTAAATGTAGATGGAAGCCAACACAGGGCAGGATGATATCACAGAAAACACTGTTAAGGCTCAAGTGTAGCTGCATTTCCTAGCAGAAGTCAGAGGTAATGGGTTTTCACAATCAAACTGTCAACCAGATAATTATTTAAAAAAAAAAAAGAAAAAAAGAAAAAAAAGGACAGTCATGTCACTGACCAATCACCTGCCACTAGCTTCCATTAGTACCTCCCCAGACAGACTTAACTCCCACCGTTAATGGAAAAACTTTGAACATGGGCAGTGTCCATCATTCCAGCTGCCAACTACTTGTCTAGAAAAGTCAAGCCTCTCGCTGAGTATAGATGGTTAACGTTCCTGTATTCATCAGCTGACTGCTGGCGAGATGGCACACACCGCATGTCCACCCACCCAACTCAACCATCGAGGTGTGGTGTTTGGACATAAAAGACATTCAAAATATACACAGAACTTCACATAAACACAAAAAATATTCAACTCATGGAGATTTGAAAATGGCATCTTATAGAGGTGAGAACAGATTAGGATTGTGACCTGTGCCCTCCAAGTGCATCACTTAACAACCAGTGTAGAGAACAGACTCCATAAACAGGTTGGAGGGTGTGGATCAAAAGACAAATGACGTGACAACAGTTTAGGCTTGAGAAAATATGTCAGAATGGTAAAAAGCTTCACTGTCATAATACACAGGCAGGTACATACAGCTATCATTGGTGGATGGAAAGCTGAATGTTAACCAATGAGGAGAGGCCTGATCCAGAAATAGAGTCATACAGCAAAATATACAACCCTGTGGAAGAAAGGGGAAAACAAAATATACCACAACACAAAAACACCATCTCATTAAACAAACTACTGAACTTTTTACATGGAATTAAGGCTATTTAAAAAAAAAAAAAAGTAAAAAAAGTAGAGCCTTTGAAGTAAAGCTTGTTTTTAAATACTATGCAAGTCCCTTTGCCTGAAATTGTGGACAGCATCACTTTAGTGAGGTGTCAAACATAAAAAAAACAGCCTATGGCTGCCACTGAAAACTGGCCAAACTATCTGTAGCTCTGCTGATACACCACACTCAACACAGGAATAAAAAAAATGCTTAGGAGAAAGACTTCATCAGCTAATTAACCATTTTTTTCCTCACTGTACAAGTTTAACAGGAAATTAAAAGTCAAATTAAAAAAAAAAAAAAAAAAAAAAAAAAAGGTTAAATTTACCAACTACACTAAATCATATATAACACACACACACAACAGGGAAAAAAAAAAAACAACCACCAAAAATTCCCATAGAGTGACACAACTGTTCAGATAGCAACAGGCTGCACTCCCCAGCACCCCCCAGGGGTCACCCACAGGAGTACACAGGGGACAAATCCAAGGACCACCAAGCTCAAGTTCATTAGGAGACCAGAGGAGATGCCATTGTGTCCTGGCTGTTGAATGGCTACTCATACAGCAAGAAGCAGTCAGCTGCATTTAGAAAATACGCTTTCGCTTAAGGTAGGAGTCTGCATAATGGCCACCAAGGCCCTGGGAGTGCTGGCCCACATAGCTGCCCTCAGGGCTCGGCTCCGGAGATGGGATCAGGCGGGAGAACACACGCTTGTGGCTACCAATGGGAGTCTATGATTGGTTAAAACAAAAAAACAATCATGCTTGGTCTAACAAGAAATGTATAAAAAAAAAAAAGTTCAGACTAAAAAAATAAAAATCAAGTCTAGAAAATGTCTAAATTACCTTCACTGCATTCCCCAGGCCTGGAGGGTAGTTTGTAGTGTGGCTCACAGGAGGCATTCCCACAGCCTGAGGATAAACAACCAACTCTCAGTGACCAAGACATCTGAGGCACAGCCACTCATAGTGCAACATTAATTATTGAACATGGGCTTATTCTTGGAACCTAACCCTCCACTTTTCATCTCTCCACGTGCTATCTTGAGGTTTTTGGCCTGACACATAATCAATAGTTTGAAATCAAAACAGTCTAAAAATCAGTCCGAAGCTTGACACTTACCCTGTTGAGCTGGGTGGTAGGGAGGCTACCGTTACTGGAATCCTCAGGCCCTGAGCTGAAGTAGGAGAGGGGGGGGCTGGGAGGGTAACCGTAGTGGGAAAACCGCTCACTGTAGTCAGGGTGACGAGAGAGCTGCAGAGACAAGTTCACAACTGTTACTATCAGACAGAACGCATGTAATTTGAGAGCATTAAAAATGTGTTCATGCAGTCTTGAAATGGTCGACTAAACACTACCTGCTGACCGAATCCTGCCAAAGCCCCAGTATCAAGGTTCTCTTGCTGTTCATACAAGTGGGCCAGGGGATCCTGAGGAGACACATCAGATGGGCATCAGACCAGATCACATCATATAACCTACTCAATGAGCAACCAGGAACTACACTGTAAATTCAACAGGTCACCTTGACATCTAGTAAAGCCACAGCTATTCATGTCAAAAGAATGAAATCTCTCTCTATATATAAAAAAATCTGGTGGTTACCTGGTGTAGTGGAGGATATTCTGGGTTGTAGGAATCCTGGTAGCGCAGGTTGTAATTTGGCTGTATGCTTTGGTGTGTGTGCTGGTTGGAGACATTACTTAGTGTTGGCCTCTTCCTATAGGGGTGAGGTCTGCAGCTTCCTCCTGAGTAGTGGACGGCAAACAGACATTACATGCTGGAATATTTACTTAAGGGAAATTTAGAACCACCGTGCAAAAAAAAAAAAAAAAGCACCTCACCTGAAGGGAAAACATTGTTGACATTGAGGAAGGCACTCTGGGGAAGATTAACATCCTTGGGTGGATCTCCTAGTATAGACACCTGACAGGAGGGGGAAAGGTGATTTATTGTAACCATAGAAAAAAACAAACAAACTGTCATTTACGCTTGGGTAGAAAGCTGGACACGAATACAAGAGGCAGAAAGCATATTATGTAAATTACTTGGGACCTCACCCCTTGTGCTGTGAGGCCATCTGCCCCCATCATGCCACCCATCAGGGGCATGGAGATGCCCTGCAGGGTGGGAGAGGAAGTCTGGGGGAATGTGCACGCTGCTGTGGGAGACTCCTGCTCCCTTGCCAGGGCTCTGCCAAGTGGCAATGGCTTTAGGGGGTTTAGAGGATCTGTTTGAAGACCAAGACCTGCGACTACACCGCCTAGGGGAATTAGATACAGGCATGATTGTAATTCACAATTATTTAATCTTTAATCCATTTGGCTGGAACGAGTTTACAGTGCAAGGGAAAAAAGTTGTCAGATCTAACTGAGATTATATTTATTTATTTAATGTTACTACACTACATTAATACTTATCGAGCATTGTGACCAAAATATAATGACCAATGTGCACTGTGCAGAGAGAAACCACTATTAACAGGCAAAGAGGGCTACAGATGTTTAGCATCATAAGCAAAAAAAAAAAAAAAAAGCAAAAAACATGCAGCTTGTGACTCAAGGAGCTACGGCTGGAGTCGGCGGATGCCAAACCTTGGGGCAGGTCTCCGAGCAGATGGACTCCCTGCTGGACAGGCAGAGCAGCCAGAGGATTCTCCCCAATGAGTCCTGCCTGCTGGCCAAATGAGAGAGCAAAGTTCAGTGTCACAAGAGGGTCACACAGCATGGTTAAGACACTCAAGTGGTTAAAAAAATGCTGAACTACACAAGCACACTTAATTAGCACAGAGGCTTACTCACCGCATATGAAATTAAGTCCTTACACAATAAGTAGTACACCTACCACATCACTTAGCACCACTCAAAAGTACACCCCACACATACACACAAAAACAAACCGCACTTCCCTAGCAAAAGCTTACCTACCTGGGCGTTGCGTTTTCACCATAACATGAAAAGACCACCACCTCATAGCCAAACACAAAACACCATGATCACTCACACAAGGAACTAGAGGGTTTTCTTTATTGTGCAGCACCTGAGCCCAAAGAAGATGATTTCCCAGAAAGGCTTGCTAATGGTTAAGAGGGAAAGAGCAGAAAGTGGAGGGGGGGGATTGTATGAATAGGAGAGGATGAATCAAAACAGGCTGAGCGACAAGGAGCCACATGTCAGAGAAAAAGCAGAAAGGTAGTAGTACCTGCTGGGCCTTGGCCTGGTTCTGAAGGAGCATCTGGAGTAGGGCGGCAGAGAGGGCGGGGTTGGCCAGCAGGGGCATTGTAGGGGCTGCCCCAAGAAGGCCTGTAAACACAGATAACGTAAGAATCCACAGTACCAAAAGAAATCCTAAAGGTAAACCACTGAACTCCTGAGAACTCCTCACCTTGTTTGTGTCCCTGTGACAGTGGGTTGAGCAGCATCTTGAGGGTGGCAGGGTTGTTGAGGCCTGTTAATATCTGCATGGCAGTGGGATCAGGGAGGAGACCCTTACCCCTATTCACAGCCTTGAAAGTAAGTGGGGGCAACATGACAGGCAATCAGCACCAGTGCAATGGCAATTTTGATGGCAAGTTGGGGCATGTACGGTATATCAATTTGACTTTAATACCATGGTTTGGGCAGCAATCAGAGCAGCCAACATGCTTCTTCCAGGTGGGCCAGGAGCACAGAAGGAAACCCTGATGTGGGTCCCACCTAGCATCCTGCCATCAGTGAGTCGCTGTGCCTCCTCAGCCATCTCAGCTGTGGCAAACTCCAACACTGCAAACCGTCGAAAACTTCCATCTTGTCCCTGAGCCAGCTGTGGAGAGGAAAAAACAAACAATCGATTTAATCTAATCTCACAGAAACTATGAGTCCAAGTTCTGCAGCCAATAAATAAAGTACACACATGGGCTGTCTGGTATGTCTGTGTTTTTTTTTTTTTTTACACTTACACCCTGGACAATCAGCACACATGTGAGTGCGACATCCATCTAAAAAGCACATTATGTAGGAAATGCCTTGTAAAACTGCTGAAATGTACCAAATCACCACTCAAACTAAAATTAAGGGATGTTGAAAGTCTCCCAAAAGATTTCCTTTTGTGTTTTGTTTATTGATAATGCAGCAACCGCCCTAACAGGCTCAGCAGGCAGGCAATTTTCTAGCACAGACAGGTTCCATTATAGCATATTCTTATTTAAGACTCAAGTCCTAAACATGAAATGTACAGCTTTTTTAAAATCTGTTAATGTAGCTAAAAAAAATACAATATACTATAAATAATTTAGACTTCCAAAGAACAATAATTAGAATTTACACTTTCCACTTATAATTGTGACTCATTTAGAGTTTGGCTAACTAACACCATCCACAGCATTTTATGTCTGGTCAGAGAAGTTCCGGATAGATTGTGGAAACTTCAGCATCAAGAAATCATCTCTTGACTCTTTACAGTATTCTGCTGACCATATTGCTTTTGAATTTCCCCTTTACTAGTCCTTAGTCACTCATCAGTCACTATGCAATGTGGCATCATGATTCAATACCACTAGGTTTCAGTATTTCATAACTAGGCCAGTTGTATCTTGTTAACCGTTTCCCTTAAATCGTCAAATGATCCTTAATCATGCCTGCCTTTGCCACAAGTCTAAAAAAAAAAACAAAAAACCCTGGAACCAGCAGAAAAGTACCCCTACCCCTGCATGTCATGCTAAAAGGACACCCCTCTCTCTCATTCCAGAAAAGCCTGCTGAATGACACCACCTGGGGTTGTCAGGTGGTCATCACCATAGAAACCAGCAATGCTCATTGCTATAGAAACTTTGAGTGGCCACAGGAAAACTGGGCTAAAGGTTAAAAAGGTACTGAAAGATCAAATGTGTTTTACAAAATACCTGTAACAGTGTCAGTTCTACAACTATCAGATACACATGGCAGCACATCAACATAAAAACAAGCTCCCAGAAGTTTGATTAATATGGCATAGCATAAATAAACAGCTAAAAAAAAAAAAAAAAAATTCACAAAGAAACTGACTACAACTGGGACGGCGTTTTGCCCTTGCAAGTCACTCCTCAAAGAACGACACAAGACTGCAACTAATGAGTATTTTCACAATGCATTAATTGCAATTAATTGTTGCCAAATCTGTATAACACTAAATAAAAAGCTGACATCGCAATTAACTACAGCCCTAGGTGACTTCATTAAATGTCATGTTTTGTTGGATAGGCCAAAATCCAAAAAGTGAAATTTACTATAAAATATAAAAGCAGATATATTGAAAACCTAACCTAAAGCGGTACACATCAATTATTCTTGCCATAAAATACTTTCTACATAATGCATCCTTCTGAAATCATATTAATTTGACAAGCAACAGACTGTGTGTGTGTAATGAAAGTGACCTGGCAGAACACTGGTGCATGGGTGTCAGCCAAGGCGTTGCGGAGGTCCTGGGCAGTCAGCAGGCTCGGGGGCAGGCGGTCCACGCACAGGCATTTAGAGTGCAGCAGTGGGTATGTGAGGGAGCCCACCTCAGTCCAGTGGACATACAGCATACGGGAGCCCAGTTGCTTTCCTAATAGCTCTGACTTGGCCCTGGCCGCCGAGTCCTTCTTCATGTACTCCACAAAGCCATAGCCCTTGGAATGCCCTGTGGAGGCGCTGTACACAAGAAAGCACCGCTCCAGGTTACCAAAGGGTCTCACCAACTCCTCAAACTGCTGCTGGGTGAAAGCACAGGGCAAGTTGGCGATGCATAGCAGAGCGTCTGTTGGCTGCAGCTGCACAGAGATTTCCCTGTCCCGTAGCACATGCTGGTGGAATTCTTTGATGGCACACTGCGCCTGCTCCCCATTGAGCAGTGTCACAAATGCTGAGGGTGATGGGG